CAGCCAAACTCATAGAAAGGGATTCTTTGTCCAGACTTAGGGCCACATGGATGTTAAGCACAGAAAATGTACACTATAAATGTATGTTTTTTTCAACAAAATAAACATTTAAATAATTAATTGTTAAATATTAATACTTTTCATTTCATAAAAATCACAGCAACCAAGGACTCAAAACTCTGAATTCAGGGAAAAACCAAAACAGTGACCTCCCGAGTTGCAGAATTTTCAAGCCAGTCTTAACACCAACTTTTATTCTAGTGTGGCAATAACACAAAGCAATCATCACACAAGCACCAAGCTATCAATGATCAATGCCCATATGGAAAACAGCCAAGCCTGGTCTGAGAGGGAGGATAGGGAAAAGTTTTGTCCAAAGCCTTCCAGCATGTTTAGGACTGTTTCACCTGTGGAAAACATTCCATGGTGCTGAATTGTGCTTAGTTGCACGGTCTTTCATGTTTGTGATAGGAAAATTTCAATTAAATCTGACACCTGTGATTCAATATCAGATTTATTATTCATAAGGAACCATAATTTATTTTTGTGAACCCCAGAGATCTGGGTAGACAGGCATTATTAAAAGTTTCATTTTTGCATGGCCTTGGTGTTGTTACTACCTGGGTGATGCAATTGTTTGTTATGTCAATGATGATATCAAATGTATTGAATAATCAGGTATTCATGTACAAGTATTAATAACAACAAAAAAGCTAAGTCATGTCTATTTTTTATCTATATAAATTGAGTAGAATAGCAAGCAACAGGTTGATAATCACCACCACCTTTTTAATATACAAAAAAAAAAAAATAACAAATATTATTTAATTTTTATTATTTTTACACAGGGTCAGTTCTATATGTCACTCAAGATAGAAAATGGGACATTATAAAGCTGTTAATTATAATCACATTACAAATGGCTGAATTTTGATCCCTGAAATTCTTGGTAATACCAATGTTCACTTTGTCTGGTTTTGTTGCAGCATGCCCCGTATAATAAAATTACAGAACTTTAACATAAAATTGGTAAAAATTTGTACAATTGACACATCCATCCAAATAAATGGTTTCTTTTTTAATTGGTATGTTTGGAAGGCCTTCCTATTAAGGATATTTTGATATGGAACTAATTATCATTCAAATATTCAAAAGCCAGGATTAGTCACAAATTTGAATTGATATGAAGTTAGTTGCCTATCAAGAAGCTTTTTAATAAACTTTATTGAGAGAAATTGATAAAGTGTTCCAATGTTTCTTCCAATCATTCTAGATGAAAATATAGCATAATAAGAAAACATTTGTTGAAGTTGTATTTGGCAAAAAAAAGGTCATTTATTGAAAAATCATGTATTTTTTCGCAAAAATATCCGCAAATTTGCGCAGCATCATGAAAATATCCAATTTTATTGGTGGGTTGGGTGCGTGTTATCCTGATTTAGAAATTGATTTTGCGATTTGCGGATATTTTTGCGGAAAAATACATGATCATTATTGTGATCAAAATTATGAAAATAAAAAAAAATGGAATGTGTGGTGGGATTGACAGAAAGTGGTAGTTGTAGATGTTTTTACAGATGGTTGTCTTATGGTACAAAATGATTGTACATGTATGTATTAAGTTTATTTAATATGAATATGTCATATCTTTCTCATAACCTTGGGTATTTATATAAATTTTTTTTATTAACAAAACTCTTGTGTAACTAAAGTCTTGTAAAATAAATCTGCAAGAGATATGCTTGCTTTGAATAATAATCAAAATGTAACTTGTTTGATCTTTGATTTTCAGGGTTTATTTCTTAATGTATAATAATATGGTTGGCTCGGTCTAAAAACCTTTCAAAAAATGTGCTAAATTTAGATGCGATAATCGAGATCTAGTCTAAATTTAGTAATGATCTAATGGCCAAATTTCTCGTGAACATAGTAATTAGTAATAGTAAAATACATGTACTAAAAAATAATAGAACTCTACAACAAAATAATTTTTTTTGAGAAAATTACTACATTAAAACTAAAGCCTATCCTATCAACTAATAACGCTATTTTTTAAAGGTAGGACAGAAAGTGACTTCTATACTTTTTAAAATTTATGTAAAATTTAGGGAGGTCTTTAGACCGAGCCAACTATGGTAATTATAACTTGTGCACTAATTGATTACGTATACACACACAAAAAAGTGTCTGCAAAAAAAATTTTTTTATTTTTTTATTTAGCATAAAAAAAAATTTTATTATTCTTTAATTAAATTATACCAATAGACAATAATTAATCAGTAATTAATTATAAAAAAGTATAAATAAAAATCTATTATGCAAAGTGATAACAATAACGGACTTGATCCAAAAACTACCACCACAACCGCATCTGCCTCTATTTTAGGGGAGAACAATAACGACACCAATAATAATGATCATCAACAAGTCATGCAGCTTTCCAACACTGCTGATACTCAGGAGTCTACAACTACCGACATTTTAATCAATAATGAAAATACCGCCACCACATCTACTTATCTTCCAAAGGATGATAACAACAACGACAACGACAATAATGACAATCAAGAAGGCATGCAGCTTTCCAACACTGCTGATACTCAGCAGTCCACAATTACCGACACTTTAATCAACGGTACAAATACTACAATCACTACCACCACCATTACACCTACAATCACAGTCCACCATTCAAATGTTGAAAGTATGGATGTATCGACAGATTCACCGGTACCAAACGATAATACCAATGGTGGTAGTGGCAATATTGATAATAATCATGCTAATAGTGAAAAGGTAACTGAAAAAACTGTTGCTAATGCTGATGATATTAATAATGATAATACTAGTGTAGAGTCATCACCACAACCAGTTATTGATCCTGAAAGCGAACGTAAAAGACACTTGAATGAGATTTTAGAACATGTTGATGGTGAGAGTGGCTCTGACAATGACGATGATGACGATGAGATAATGACTGAGGCTGAACGTGATGGTGATCAAGAGCAAGTAAATAATGCAATGGTTGAAGGATTATGTATTGATTGTAAAGATCAGGTGAAAATTTTATAAATTGAATTATTACTATCATTATTATTGTAAGAACTCTTTAAATAATTATATCAACAACAATAACGATAATGTTTTCTTTAATTCAAGGAAGCTTCGGTATATTGCGAGAATTGCTCAGAAGATTTTTGTGAAATGTGTTATGCAATGCTTCATCGTACCGGGAATCGTCGTAATCATAAAACTAAAAGTTTGAAACATCTCAATAATAATGGCCCAGAAAATAATCTACAACAACAATCTCACCAAAATGGTAAAAGAAAATCTGATGCTATGGATTCTGCTAATGGCAATGGCGCTAGATCATTAAGTGTAAGTCTCGTATGTTTATATATGCATACATGTGCTATGGGTGTATGTGATGTATGTGATATGTGTATGTATGTCAAGATATTAATTATAATTTTATTTGTTCGTTTGTTTGTAATTAGGAAATAGCAAACTTATCAGATGATAAAGACGGTGGACTTAAAGCTACATCTACTATAATTTCAAGTGGAGGTTCAACTTTTGGTCAATGGCTTGAAGAACGTTCTAAATACATACCAATTAGATTAACCCTGTCTGAAAGAAAATTTTTAAGGCTGTAAATATCAGTTTATTTATTTTCTGTGAAAAAAAAAATTTTTTTTAAATTTTATAATTTTTGGAAAACATAAACTTATTTTTATTTTATTTTTAAATAATATTTAGATTAGAGGCAGCATTAAACGTCTCTGGTAAGAATATCTATCTATATAAATGTTATTATTTAATTATTTATATAACAACAAAAAATTTTTTTTGGGCACACTACATTTTAAATTATTTTTGCTAATAATAATAACAATAATAAATAACTTACAGAGTATACAGATAAAATCGATATCATATCTTATAATTCAAGCAAATCACGAAGAATTCTTCATCAAATTAAAGATTTATGTGCTATTTTATCTGGTTTAATGGTAATTATTTATAAAATATAAATTTGGTATCTATGCTTTTTTTATTTAATGTATAATATTTTTCACAAAAAAAAATTCTTCAATTAACAGGTAGCAAGGTAATAAATTCAACACGTGTACATACAAATATATATATATATATATATAATATGATATTTATCATCATTGATGTTGATATTTACATCATCATCATTTAATGTTTATAGTGATTTTAAAAAAGGACAAGAACTTTTCGCCAATAAATCTTTTGAGGATAATGAGGAATTTTTTCAAAAGATTTTTGAAATAGGAAGAAGACACAAAGTTATGAATCCAGAAAAAATGAGAGATGCATATGGCAAATTGATGTACTTGTTGATGGTAGTAATAATTATTTATACGTTATACGTTATATATTAATTATTTGTATATGATGTATTATATGTTTAAACGACACACGCTCATATATAAATATCGATATACACAATAATATAGGACTCGGTTATTCCTGAAGTTCAAGAGATGCTTTCATTCAGTTTAATCTCACCAATCAAGACAGTTTTTAGTTTTCTTAAAGACCGAGATGCGCTCAAAGTGCTTCATCATGATTTAGTAGTTGATGCTACCAAGGAAATTATACCTGATGGCAAAACACGTTATACTATCAATTCCGAAATCAAAAAAAAAGAAAGAGCCATTGAATTTTTGAGTGCTAAATTTTCTAATAAGAATATATCTTCAGATGAAATTAAACAATGTCTTTACAGTATTGGCGACAATCATTCTTATTTAAGATCAAATAGGTAATCATTTTATTGATTTTATTATTATTAATATATTGTTCCAAGTAAATAAAACCATATATTTATTTTTACATGTTTTATAATACTAATATTTTAGGGATTGCTGTGATCGTATGCTACACTACTTGACAACATATTTTCACCCAGAAAAAATCGCGACAGGATTTTCATTGGCTATTCAATCAGGTCGTCATGGTGCACGTCTTTCACATAATCATGAGACGCAATACTGTTATGCGTAAGTATTCATTTAATAATAAAATAATAACATTATTTTTTATTTTTTATAAAAATTATTATATTATGCGCACATATATAATTCTTTCCCCTAAAAAAAAAAATATATAATATATATATAACAGAAAACAAACATTGTCACTTTGGAGTGAGATACAATATGAAATGTTTAAGCTTTGGACATTGGCAGATCGTGATTTATTATCGGAAAATAATACATATAGATTGAGAGATACAGGACAAGGGTTAAACAGATTACAATCGTGTCCATCCGTTTCTCGAACGATGCACTCAATCTTACATCTTGCTCAACAAAAATCAGGTTATTGGGTAGGAAGTTCGGTTATTCATCTTGGAGATAAAAATGTTCCCAATGCTCTCATGTTCATTGATAAAGTATTGATTATTTCTATTTATTTCGTTTTATTTTATTTTTGATAATTATAATTTAACTTATTTACTTATTTTCTCTACCTCAAATTACAATCTATCCCTCCAAATTACATTATTAGTATAATCAAATTTCACGTATATTGACACCAATATTGATATGTCTAGACAGTATATCAACGCTAGTTCAAAAGAATACTGGTATTCGAGCATATATACAAAATAGTTTTTCAGATGTGGAAAATTGCAAGAAAACAATTCTTGCAGATTTCTTTCGGTATGCATTTGATGGTAGTGGAGCAGATAATTTTTTTGATGCTGGAAGTTGTATTGATGGTAGATTGACTAGTGCGTGGAATTGGTGTTCACAAATTGAAAAGAAGACCTATTTCCCTGTATTTTTGTTAACTGTAAGTTTATTCTTTTCTTTTTTGTAATTTGGAAATTAAGTAAAATTTGAAATTAATTTTGTTTTGTAAAAAATAAAACTATTTTTTAGGGATTTGTTGGATTTGATGGAGAGAACTTTTAAGGATAAATAATGCGAGCGAGAATAATATCTGGCTAGAAATAAATAGAAAAATAAAATAAATATATAAAATCTTGGTCAAGTTGTTAATTATCAGTAATTAGTAAAGTAATTACATCTCTTTAATTTCAATAAATATAATAATAATATCGACAATTATTTATTAAAAGAAAGAAATGTTTTACTGTTAAGACTTGCTATAAAAAAAAATGTGATTTTTTTTTATTATATAAAATAATTTCTTATCGCATTATTCACAACAACATCTTATAATAATAATAATAATATTAAAAAATATATTTGTCCTCTAAATAAATCATTTCAGACCTCGCGAAGCTTTTTCTAATGATTTGATATTCTTGCTCACTTTCTTGACTTTTTTTTTACAAGTTTTGCGTATACGTCAAGATTAAAGTATCTATTTACTTTGATTTTAGGCTCTGTTTTTCTTCGATTATTAAATTTTCCTCAACTTTATTCTATTTTCTTTTGCGCCTGAGCTGATAGCATCAATTATTTAGTTTTTATTCCTTCTTGTTTTTGTCTACTTTCGAAGCTTCCAGGGTCACGTTATAACTTCTTGATTAACTTTCTCGAGTCTTCATACGACCAATTTAACAATGTTGACATTTTGCGAATTCTTACCAATCAACAGGTGTGCCTTTTCACCTTTATTATTTAACCATTTCTATATTAAAGCTAGATTCTTTTTCCTCTTCTTTCAACTCTTTATTCGCATCCACGTTTATAACAATGATATCTTTTAGTCTTATCGCTTAGATAATTTTTTAAATTTTTAAAAAGCTAGTTTTTATACAACGTTTTTCTCAATCATTTAAACGATTTCTTCTCTTTCTTTCCTTCTCATTATTATTATTATTGATATCAACATCAGCGCCATTGATACCATTCTACTATCGTTATTATTCATTTTGGGAGCAGTTGTTTTCTTTAATTATTTTGCTTAATCTCAAGTTTTGATCTCTAATCAAACTATTTAAGATTCTTCGATTGTTACTTCCTTCTTTTGAAGATTGATTGTTGAAATGAACGGCAGAGTCTTTGAGTCGGAAAGCTTCACAAAGAATACCACCGCACGTATTTCTACCTGTGCTCATTTTTTCTTCTGCACTTTTAGTTCCATGACTTTTTTTGTCGTGCTTTAACGATTTGCACTTAATCTTGTAAGCTGATCGCGTCCCCTCTTTCTTATATTAAATAACTTCAATTATATAATTTTTTTTTGTTATAACCTGTTCTCGGAGATTCGTTTTTAACTTCTTTAATTCAATTTTTTATAATCAATAGCAAACATCTTAACAAAATCTCTCCATCTATAGTAAACAAGACGCAATAGCAATGACCGAGAATCTCTGAACTTTTATGGTACAGCCACACTTGAATGAAATGCATGATGGGTTACAACGTTATTCAGTGTTTGATGGAATCTGTTTTACCGGGTTGGTTTTTTCCAATTAAAAAAAGCTTTTAATTATATATTTAATAATAATTAAATGAAATAACGAACTTATATATATATATTGACATACGGTTTAGCTTCATCCATTAATATTAAGCCTTGCATTTATTTATCGATATATATCTGCTTTATTTTTCGCAACTTGATATTGAGTTTTCGTCTTCTTTATTTGCTAAAAATATAAAATTTTTAAAAAGTTCTTTATTGTTGCATCTGTCAGCTTCCCCATGTGAAATAATCAATTTATTTGATTAATAGAAAATTGGCTTTTTTTTCTTGACCAAAAAAGCTAAATTGGATCAATTTGCTGACATGGCCATAACCCGTTTCTTGTTCGGCTCAAATTTAAAATTCTAATATTAATATATGCGTAATATTATTACATTCACTTGTGTTTTGAATGATTTTTGATAATTCTGATTTTAATTCACTAAATCACGATTTCAATTTATCTTGTTGTTGCTATGATCAATCTCAATATGAAAATATGAACCAATCACGGGATTATAGCAATGTATATATATACCTTTATTTGGATTGATGACCAGACATTGTGCCAATCTTAAGACTGGGATTGGTCTAAATTCGGACTAACAATTTTTGCTAATCCAAACCAAATTCTTAAATTATTTATATTAAATTATTTTGATTCCCCTAATCTCAAATGAATTGGGGAGGTGGCCGAGCGGTCTAAGGCGCCACGTTAAGGCCGTGGTCTCGTAAGAGGCGTGGGTTCGAATCCCACCCTCCTCATTATAAATCATTCTTTTTTATTTTTTAATATTTTATATTTATGCGTTTACAAATATATGATAGATAATGTTGTTATAACTTCTTAAAGATCGTTAATAAAAGAATACATGAAAAATTGGCTTTTATTTTTTATTTGATACATACATATATATAAAAAAGCATAAATATTAATTGTTATATATAAATATTACTAAAAAATCTAAACAAATCTAAACAAATCACTTCTATTTGAATTTTCAAAATTTATTTGGAGTCATAGGAACATGTTCCAATGTGTCATCCTCAGAAATAAATGCATGATTTGGTATTGAGAAATGACCAGAATTAGAACGTATAAATGCTGAGTTATTTGATTGTAAAGAATTATTACGTGAAGGACCATTACCGTTAGTATTATTATAATTCTTATAATTATGTGAAGGTGATATCGAAGAATAAGGACCAGAATGATTTAAGGAATCTTGTGAACTTTGATCTGTTGAAGTATTATAAGATGCTGATTTAAGACCCCTTTCTCTACGCATATTAGATGATGTTTTCCTAACGTTACGACGACGACTTACTACATTATTAGTGTTTGGCGAATTATTACCACTATTATAGTCACTGTTATTACCACTGTTATTACCACTGTTACAATTATAATTATTGCCATCGTCATTGTCACTGTTGAAAGTTGTTATAATTGGTGGCAATTTTCCAACAGCTTTGTTTTTACTGTGACCATTATTATTAATAGTATCAATTTTATCATTTTCGCTGACATCAGCATCATCATCATCGTCGTCAGTATTATTGTCTGATAATTCATTGTTGTTTTTAGAAATGACTCCTTCTTCTTCAACACTTTCCATAGAATTTATTGATGACATAATTGTGACGGGAGAACCTCTAGGATTAGAAGTATCACTGCTATCACCAGCAGTATTATTAGTATTAGTAATTCTGGTTATGGAACTTTCACGAGAATGTATTCCCTTTCCGCTAATAGTGGACCCGCCGCCAACACTGTCTCTAACATGATTTGACGATCGATTAGAAAGTGAAGAATCCCTGACATGATTTGATGATGCTGATGATCTATTGGATCGAGAAGATCTATTTGATGCCAATGATTCTCTACTCCCAGATCGTTTCATCACCTCATCAACAAGACTTGATGATGATGTGTTGTTATTGGGATTTTTGAAAATGGTTTCATAGTGAAGTATTAGATCTTTGACTAGACGTTGGTTGTGTTTATCGTGAAGAAATACTGTGGATTCATTTGGTGGACGTAATAGAATGAATCCATAGATCTGTGCAAGTATTGTCGTATATGAATCATCAGCTTGTGCTGATACAATAAATCGGTGTAAATGTGATACAAATGCTTCCAATGTGTGATAATTTCCTTCTGGTAACGAAGTATTTAACAAATTTGCTACAGATGATAATTTTGTCTGTTCATCTTGATCCTCTGGACCTAATAACAATACCAAATTTTTGTTAATATTAATAACGATTTGACTATTATAATTATTATAACAACTTACTTATTGAATATAACATTTTAACAGGTTCATAGAGCTCAAAAGTGAGAAGGCATTCTGGCAATTCCATAAAATATAATTTCAATATTCCAGCAACAATTGCTAAATCATATTCTCTTAATTTTTTTAATGTAATCTTTCCTCCTTTAAAATTATTAATATTATTAATTATTCTTTAAATGAACGAATGAGCGAATGAACAAACGAATAATATTGATTTATTTATTGATTAAGAGAGTATTTACCATCATTTAGTTCTTCTCTCAGTGAATGAATTGATGCCAAGGGAACACTTGTTATCCATAAAAGTTTTTTATCTTTTAAAATGATATATTTTTAATTTATATTGTTAATAGTAATTAATTTAATATAAATAACTTATATGTCTCATATAATAAATCCAATCATATTCATACCATTATCACTCCAACTTGCCGATCCTATCATCGAATGTCACAAGTATATTAATTTATTTATCTAGTTATTGTTATTTAATAAATGATAAATTTTTGTTTTATTGATTATTTACCTTTAGTAATACAACTAAGGCATTTTGTGACAATCTGTGGAATAAATCTCAAATCATGTTTTGCTTTTTCTTCAAGTGGAACTCCAAATGTTTGATCTAATTCATCAAAAAAAAAAAAACAATTACTATTTATCTCCCAAAGTAAATAATATTTCGTCCGTATCATATTTACCATTAGCACTTCCACTATAATGATTATTATATAGAATAACTTGAGGAATAAATGGGCCAGTTCGATATCTTTCAATCATAAACTGAATGTCATGTTCTGGTTTCAATGCTTCGTGATAAATAAGTAATTTTTCTGACATTGATTGTACAGCTGATATTATACTACCAAAAGTTGCTGCATAATTTAGAAACGATACTTTGGATGTTTTGATACGATCTAATTCACTCTTTTCCAAGAAACTCATATGATCTATCTAATTTATTACGATTATTGATTAAAATATTGATATAAAGTAATTAATATAAATAATATATATCTTTTAGAAATAACACATTATATATATAATATACCATGCATTCTTCGAGATATAATCTTGTTCTGTCTAATCTTCTGACAGCATGTCTATAAGCCTCGTCTGCTTCATCTGCTTCTCTACGAGCTCGTTTATCAGGTGGCTGACTAGATGATGTAATAGTTGGGAAGCTCCAACCTTTTGTTTTGATAACTGTATCTTCTGTTTCCTTTAAATCAAATGATTTCTTCTTCCATTGAAAATATGACGAAGGACTCCCGGTAAATTTATTACCATATGCACCAACAAGTTTTATAAAACCTTGATCGGCCAAATCTTGCCCAATACTCTCAGCTTCACGCCAACTATCTGCAGTCGGATGATTTTCTTGTAACCATCTGGTAATATCTTCTCCGGAATAAACATCATTATACACTCCTAAAAAAGGTATCCGAACTTCTTGTGACTCAATCTCATCTCTCATACGTTCTAAAAATTTCATTATCTCTAGCTCGGTAAATGCCTGATCACCAAGCACAACTGCTGCCTTCATGCTTGCTTGTTGTTCCTTTTCTTGTTGTTTTCCCTTATCTGAAGTTATTTCCAACTTTTGCCTTTCCTCTGCTTCTCGATCTGCCTTCTCTTTTAATTCATCGGCAATCTGACATTTTGTGACATAACTAACGCGTGCCTTTTCAACCTCAGCGCTCATTTTATCAAATAATTTCAAATAACCAGTTATCTCCTCATTACTTGATTTCAATCTTTTATTATGCTCTTCCGAATACTTCAGCAACGGTTGAAGCACTAAATCATATATGCTTCCTGCAAGCTCCAAATGTGACTCGCCTAATTTTCCACATTCACTTTTCACCGTCTCAAATGAACGCCTTAAAGATGCTCCGTCATCACGAAGAAATCCATCTTTACGACTACTCGACTTTGACAAGTCACATAATCTTTTTCCATATGTTTCTTCTACGGAAATTCTTTCCTAGATAAACATAATATCGATATAAACTCAATTAAGAAAATTAATTAATTGATTATTTAATTAGCTAATGTACAAACCCTTAAGAATGTTATTATCTCTTCATTTTCTACTTTTCCTTGTTCGAGTTTATCATAAAGAATGGTCATCCCAGTAGCATAATGATCAGTTGTCCAAAACGAATTATCAAATCTTAAGCTTTGACCAGCTAATGTTGCTGCCATCTTTAATATTAAATTTAATTTAATTAATTAATTTCTAGTATTATTTATTGTTAAAGGAAAAAAATTATTTTTTGTAACACAAATTTGTCATAATTTCTTATTTTGTATACTAACTAATACTAAATAAATTTATCCCCCGTTCTTTGTTTTTTTAATTTGGTAGAGGTTTATCCTAAATTTATCCTAAAATATACAATTTAAAAATCGAACTAACAATATAAATTTACATTTAAAAGGCTGCTAAGAATAATTATTTTCAAACCAACCAATACGCTTCCTGGAAGAAAGTACCCGAACCTTGTTTTTATTAATATTAATTGCGCAAAATTTATACAATAAAAAAATATTATAAAAAATATCATGAGCCCTGCATGTACAACTTTAATTACATAAAAGAAAAATGTACTTCTCCTTGTTGGATCATTTCTTCCAATCAATCCGCAAATCCACTTCTTTTTGGATTGACTTCCGAGTTTCTTTGCAGCACCCATTAAATCCCGACTATCCATCCCAAAAATACTCAATCGAGGGCCTAAAAACTGTAATTCGGTTAGCTCCTCATTTTTTGTCATTTTTTAAATAATGACAGCTTATTTATTTTTAATTACTAGTCTCCATGAAAAAAAGTTCACGATTTTGTTGCAATTAGGTTTTTTTAATTGAAATTTTACATCATTGGGAAGTAGATAAAATTTCATATGGCGTGGTCGTTGCTGCGCCACGCGTTCTAATTTCAAAACATGGCGTTTTCGTGGTTCGTTTAAAAAAATGAATTTTAAATACTTAACTGGGCCATGACAATGTTCACCTGGGTGAAGAATGTGATGCAACTCAAAACTAATTAAAGATTTAGTTACTCTTTCAATAACGAATATTAATAATAAATAGTAATAATAATAATAATAAAAGGAGCCAGCCAAAAAAACCTAACCGGGTACCGGCCCAGCCCGGGTCCAACCTCTACCATAGACGAATAACGCCCTCATCATTTAACTCCTTTCTTTATCTTTTCTGCCGATCATTAATATTTGTTTGTCCATATTTTTACTAATACTAATACTAATATTAAGTATCAAGTTATTTCTTTAGTCGAAAACGTCTTTTACAATTTTCTTTCGGTTCTCCTTGTGAATTCGCCAAGTTTTTATGTTTTGTTGTATCGTTATATTATTTCATTATTTTTCGATCTTCTTTGCAAGACTTTGCTTTTCTCTTTTCCCTTAGTATTAGTATAGTAAAAGATGAATATTCGGCCGACATCCTTTTGAATTTTGATCGTTTGAGATCAAACCTTTAATTTACAAACTCTCATCAATATTTTTTTTAAATCTTTGATTCCAATTTTGTTTAGCTATCCATGCTATTTCTTTGTTGTTCTTCCAGTTTATTGAAAATAACTGTATAGTTTATAATTGAAGGTTCTATGATATTTCCATAATCCTGAGAACATTTCTTGTTTGTAATAGTTGTCAAAATCACTTCATATTATCTATTTACTCATAATTATATAATTATAAAAATCCAATGAATAACCATAAATTCTTTTCGTACAATAGCAGTGATGACGGCGATTATGAATTCATGACTCATCATTCTAGTTTAAAATCAATTACTTTTAGCAAAACAATCAAACAAAAGAATTTTTTAAAAAAAGGAACCATAATATATGTCTTCTTTTTTTTTTTTAAAGACTTTAATTATTCTTTTATAAAAAATATAGTGATCCTCCAAATTCAAACTTTTTGGTCTTTCTTGTGCTTCCTGTATTTTACTTGTTGTCTCTTCAATAAGCCCCGTCCTAATAAAGTACGTGATTAATTGATGATGATCGATTAATCATAAAAAAAAATGTCGAATTCATTCTTACTCTTTGTCTAAAGCAGCTTCGACTTTGTGTAATTGACTTCCAGTAAGTGAATGAATTTCATTAGAATTAGAATTAGAATTTCATTAGAATTAGAATTAGAAAAAATAGAACGACTTGATTTTGAATGATTTGATTTTGACTGATCATATTTAGTATCTTTAAAAAAAAATTATATAAATATAATGATTATATGTTATATATATAAAAAAAGTTACCCGTTTCACTTTAGCCTTCAAACCATTTTCACCATTTAAATCATCTTGAACTCGATTTAGCATATCAAAATATTCATTTTCAAATTCTCCAAAAATTGGATTTGATTGAATTATTCTTTTTTGAAGAATTCGATTGGCCTTACTTCTAGAAGAGTATGTCCAATTATGAATGAATAAGTTTATTCTCTTCCATGGCACTTTTAAGATTCTGTAAAGATCTGCTTGATGTTTTATCATTTGAAATTGTAATTTTATCCTTAAAATAAAAAATAACTCGAGTAAGTTAGTTAAATAACATACATACATGTAAAAGAATGTATTAATTAGCGTGTGAGCAGAAGATTTAATTGGTATGATTTCATTAACAGTTGTTAATGAAATTCTTCTTATCAATTCACTATTAACCCTATCAAATTCTTTAGATAATTGTTTATTACGATTTTGCAACAAAAGAAGACTTGGTCTGAGTTAATCCTTGAGAAGTTAGAGCCTGTTGTAGTTTGGTGGAAATTCTAATTTATCTGTTTCAGGAAATCCCATACTTTTTAAACGAATAATATCATCAATTGACAATTTAATCGGTGCAGTTCTACTCTCTAAGGAAACCCTCTCAGTTGTAGCGTGGAAGTTAATATCAGAATCAAGTATTCTAAATGAGCATTATCAACTGCCATTAAACCTAATAAAGGATCTGGTTTACTGTTAAATATAATATATAGTAATAGGTTAAATATATATATTTACTTTAAATATTTATTTAAATGGAATATTTAAAATAAAAGTTACCTGGGAATTACACAAGCAATCCAACTAACTTCTGATTTTTTTGATTTTCAAAGAATTCTCTCACCGATAAACCATTATTATCATCCTTATTATTATTATCACTAATATTATTATTTTTATTATTGTCATCAACAATTGAGATAATTTCTTCCAAATGTTTTAACCAATTACCAAGTTGAATTGCATAAACACCTGCAAAATGACACACATAAAACATGTCTTTATATTAAGGGTCCTTAATATTGGGATGATTTAATGAAGTTTTAATTCTATTTGAGAAGGAACTATTTGAAATTGGTATAACAAACCTTTTAATAAATCCTAAATCAATGCTTTCATATAATAAAAGAACAGAAAGATCGATGAATTCATGTGATCCTTAATAAAATAAATAAATTTGTATGTAATAAAAATTATTAATGTTATAAATATTATTTATTAATTATATTTTATTTCCAATAAAAAGCTATCTGATAAAATAATAATATACCTGAATTTTTCAAAACGCTTCAATTTTATCAACTTCAAGAAAAATATCTAATCTACCACTACTAGAAGCTATGACAATTATACTAGTAGATTGATTATTCAAATAGATTATATCACTAGCATCAAAGGGTGATGTGATAATTCCAAAGGATTTGGCCTCATTGCAAATGGTCCTTGTAACAATAAATCATTTTGAACATTTGCAGGAGAAGAAATTTTTTACCTTGTATGATGATGGTGATGGTGATGGAAGTTTACTAATTTGTTGAAAAACATCACAAATCCATCTGTATTGCAAATGATATTGACTCATATATTCGAAGATTTGAATCAGACGGTAGACGTTTTTGGCTTCGTATTTTTTTAAAATTATACAGCTAATTGTTCAATAAGTATCCTACAACTAAAGCTTTAGTTCATTAAATTGTTATATTATTAATAGTTAGATTGATTTATAAATAAATAAATAAATAAATAAATGATTGATTGGTTGATTGATTGATAAATAAATCAAATTAATCAAATTAATACATTAGTGTTTTGCAATAGAAAAAAGCTTCTTACCAATTTTTTGGTACTATTGGACATCACATAAACATCTCCATTATTAAATAAAACACATGCAATAAAATTAGATCAGCCCTTATCATCTTGACCAAAACTAAAGGAAATTGTTTTTGGTGTTTCAGTGCCAAAAGAAAAAGCCTTTTCTGGGTTTTCACTGAAACAAAATTTTTGTTCTGGTTCATTACAATTAGATATATTGTACATTCTATTATTTTTACAGATAAATAAAGAGTAAATAAATAATCATATAAATAAATGTAATATATTGCCTTAGTATTGTATCTTTAGTCAAAACCAATAAATGAGACATGCTAGTTAATGGATGCCATAATACCTTTGAAATAGGGCTTGATCCCTTCCATATGATGAAAAGATCCAATTAGATATGTTCTATTTATTTTGATAATCATTGTATAAATATCAAATAATTTTTCAAATATATAAAAGTAGTTATCAGTAAATAAATATGCTAATGAATTAAATAACCATATAAAGTAAAATCTTAATGATATTTGTGCTTTATTTTGTGACTTTGATATAATAAAATTTAGCTAGTGGAAACGAATTACCACCGATTCATAATCACCAACAACAGAATCACTTTTACTTTTTCTTTAAAATTTAATACTAAAGATCTAATTTTAAATTTAACCTTTGGTGTATTAAGTATTATATATTTAACATTTGACACCCATTTTGGTATAAGATGATAATTAACCTTATCATCATGATTGTCATCATTGTCATTACTAATATCATTATCATTGTCAGGAATTTTCACACAATTCATTATTCTCACTTGCATGTTGCCAAACATCATTAAACTTCCATATTTAATATTCATATTTCAGATCCTACAGCTACTATAAGATTATTTCCCTCAATTACTATACATGATTGTTTTCTTTTTGGTTTTCCATAATTCTCCGATCCTATTATTGCTTTTTATTTTTTGGTTGGAAAGATAGTTTTTTAAAATTTTTATTTTTTGTTTATAGAGAGACAAGTTGATTTACCAATTGTACTTGCTAATTTTACACTGTCAGAATATAAAAAATCGGATGGCCATTAATATAATCTAACTAATTTAAATTTTTATTCAATTAATTATATAATTAAATTAGTTTTTATTAATGAAGAAAACAATGTTCTCAAATTGATCTTGGTAAATAGTAAAATTTTTGTCATATGATAATTTTGTTTATTATTATTAAATAAATATTAAGAAATGTATATCTTTTTTAAAAATATAAATTATTTTCATCAATTTTTAATATTTCATCATTATTACCGTTATACGGTTCAGATACAGTTATTACTGATTCCTCTTCTGTTTCGTCCTCTTCAAAACTTGAATTTTCTGATGTTTTAGATTTATTGGGATTTAATGCTATTATAGCTTCAATATTTTGCAAATCTATTGCAATGTCAACTGGTAGCTAATTATATATGAATATATGATGTTAGAAAAATATTAGAAGACAAAATAAATAAAGAATAGTTTTTAATTACCTTTCCATCTTTATCCTTCAAATTGATATTAGCGTTTCTTTTTAAAAGAGTTGAAATTCTTTTAATGCTATTGCTACCACCACCACTACTATTAGTGCCATCGTTATTACTACTATTATTACTATTATTACCATCCTTATTATTTATTGTTGCTGCTGCATAATGAAGTATGCTTCGACCATCCTTATCAACAGAATTTATATCAACTTGCCATAAAAATAAAAATTCCAATGCTAATTCATCATTTCTTTGAATAGCCTGATGTAATGATGTTGTGGAATTTTTTTCTTGATTTTTCCAATCAACATCAGCGCCAAGTGCTAGATATCTTAAGGCTTCATATAGATTTGTTTGATTCATAGCATTCCAAAATTCCTAATGATATTATTATAATTGGACAGTTAGTGTGTGTAAGTAAATAAAATAAAATTTGTTATTTGATATTCTAATATCGGGGACTTTTCAATAGAAACAGAAAGAGCTCCGAAAAAAGCAATTTTGTGTTAGTGTGATTTCATTCCTATACATGTAACCCTTTATGTAGGACATTTTTGGTTTAGAAATCATACCCATTTTGCATAATGATATTTTAAAATTTTTAAAAACAATAACAAATTCAGAGTTTCCATTGAAAAGCCTGTGGATTATAATATATATTACCATGTTGATAATTTCTAAAGAATTGGAACTTTCATCATCTTTTCGAGCTACAAATTCTTTTTTTACATATTTATCAGTAATAAATTTATCCCTATATTATTAATTAATATTAAATTTATTATATTGTAATAGTATATGAATATTGAATTCTTCAAATAATTAAATAATATAAAAACCTTTTCCATGATGGATCTGTAATTATTTTATTTTTATAATCCTCGTCAAGTTTGGCTTCAAATATTTCATTTATTTTGGAATTCCCTAATTTTAGCATTATATCTATTGATTCTTGTTCCCACTTGTCCAACATTAATGATCTAACCTTACTAATATGAACGCCTAAACTACGATGAACTCCGGAACATTCAATACACAATAGAATACCATAATTCGTACTTGCCCATTGCGGATCTATTTAATTTATTTTATGGTTAATAATATATGAATATTAATAATAATAGCAATTATTAATTATAATTTAATTATAATTGTTCTTACCGCTAGTTCTGCAATCTGCACATTTTGAATTTCCAGCAATTTCTTTAATTTTATTGATAAAATTATATTTTAATTGTAATTCTTCCTTAGTAAGACCACTTTCTCTAAACTCAAAATCATCAACAATGTCATATTGAAGCAATTCCTAATTAAAAATAAAATAAAATTGAGAAATATAACTTGAAATGATTGTAACAAATTTATTATAATTTGTACTATTTACTTGAGAAATATTGCTGTCGACTTTTTGAGATAACGTTGAAACATTATCTGAATATAATGCCATTGTAGCTGCTGCATTTAAACAATTGATCCAATCTTCCATGTCTTCTTGATTTTCAGCTTGTAAAATATAAGTTCTTTAAAAAAGTATTAATTTTATCATATTATAAAATAAAAATAAAATAAAAAAAATAAATTAATAAATATTTTATTTATATATACAAACCATATTTTAAACATAAATTATTAAATCTAGTCAATAATTAGTAATTTTAAAACCTCGTTGGTGATATTATCACAAAACAAAATCTTTTATCAATATTGTCAATTGGTTTCACATGGCAAACTCTAAGCTTTATAACACCAGAAATTTCGTTGTTTGGAATCTTGTGATATATTAACATTTAGTTAGAAATAACAAATAAATAAATAATTTTTTTTTTTAGAAAAAAATAAATGAACATTATACTTTAATATTCCTGTTACGATAATATAGTAATTCTCCTGAAATAGTAAAATATTTACGAGACCATGATTGCATAACTCTTTTATCAATCTTCATAAACAAATATCCAGATTTATTGCTACAATTATTATCGTCATTATGATTATTGTCATTGTTGCTATTGTCATTTATAGATTCCTGATTTAAATTAGATTTATCATCATCAACATTCACTTTTCTAATTGATTTTTTAAAAGAATTTAATGGATTGTAAGTATCTTTTGCCATCTAATGAATTTTATTAATATTATTATTAATAAAATTAATGATTTATTTTTATTAGAAAATATTTATAAATTATAATAATTATTAACATTTATTTACCTCCAATATTGATTGTTTGGTTTTATCAGAAGTCTTTAAATCACTATCATATTTTGACCTTGTCTAATAATAAGACAATAGTATTAAATATCAAATATTAGGATAAATGTATTACTGATACTTTTGAAATCCAAATGTATATAACTAATTCATTAAAATATTAACCTCATGAAGTAATTCTGTAATAGAGAATAAAATATTATTATAAGTATTATTATATAACATTAATAATTATTTATTTTATGAAACATAACTTGTCACATTTTTCATGCCAGGCTCAAGATCCTTCATAGTTTCATAACATTGATGATAAAAAGATTTTCCACTAAACATTAATGCTAATATCTGATAAAAAAAAAAGTAACATAGTTCAACTATTATTATTACTGTGATTATTATATGCACCATTAAAAAATTATATTTTTGCCCAATATTTATTATATTAGTTGAATAATTGACAACACTTTACATATTCCATGAATTCAAATTGCTTCTTTGCTTCTAATTGATTTAATTTCAACACATAATCAATATATCTAAGATGTAATTCTTTTCTGGTTTTTGAAACTTCAACTGAAGCCTTAATAAAATTAATTATTGATTAATGATTAACGAATTGATTAAATGACAAAAAAAGGAATATATTTCTGCATTCAAAACCAAAATTTAAATAAATACTTCATATATTTTCGTACTAGAAGGAGTTTTATTCATATAATTATGAAGTGCAATATCGGCTTCATTACTCGCTTTCTCAAATTTCTTTTTCATCGCCTAATACAATAAGATCATATCATTAAAAAAAAAATTTTTTCTCAAGAAGGGATATATACATTCTAAGAGTGTGTGTATATATATCTAACCTTTAATGGTGATATTTCATTCTTTTTAAAAGATTCAAGTGATTCAATAAACATCGAGTTTATACTTGAATTCTTTATTTAAATTTACAATAGTATTAATAAAATAATTGACTAAAAAAGTGAGAGAAAACAAAAACAGATTTACATACAAGTATTCCGCGACTCTTCTCAATTTCTTGTAATGATGTTGAATACTTTATAAGAAAAGATTCTAATATAGTCAAATATTATTTTAATATCATTAATTAGAAATAGAAAAGACAAGGAAACTACTAAATTTTTTACTTATTATTGATTCGGGCTGTTGCATTGCGAAATTTTTAAGTTCTTCAGCAAATTGAAATTGTTTTCTGGTATACTCTAAACATTCAATTAAATATAGTGGTTAATGATTGATTGATTGAATTCGTTAATTTAACAAAAACTGAAATACCTGAAGCAATTTCTACGCTAGATCTTGCCAATTTGACAAGATTCTCTATACAAGTTTCTAAACCAAACAAGGAATTTTCACAACTAAACAATTCCTTACGAAACTCTGGAGGATCTTCTTGACATAAATAAAGATTTAATGGCGAGTTCATAATTTAAATATTAAATATATTGAATCCTTGAAAGTGTATAAAATTTGACTGTGCCATATATACAACAATCTCCAGATGATTTCCATGTTTGGTTAGCTACGCCAGGATTGACGTGATTTTTTTATCTTTCTGGTTCACAAAGTCATGTGCTTTACTACTACACATTCATGACACTTGGCACCGTCATTCTGGCTCACCAGTCATGGCGTAGAAGTAGATTGGCGTTTTTTGTTGATGTAAATACACCCTAAAATTGTCCTTCTGGTTCACTAGCAAAGGTCATGTGCTTTACAACAAAAAAAAACCATACAATTTACATACTACATATTCATGGCATTTAGCACAGCCCCTTTGGCTCACTAGTCATGGTGTAGAAGTAGACTAGCGTTTTTTGTTGTTATAAATACACACCTAACATCGCCCTTTTGGTTCACTAGCAAAGTCATGTGCAACAACTTAAAAAAACGTGTGCGTGTGTGGTGACAATGATGCTCTTGGAGCGAATAAGGAACCTTGATATGATGATGATGATAACATTCTTGGTGTGCATTTTCATGCGTATCTAATGATGACAATGACAACGACAATGTTGGTAGTTGCGTAATTGGCTAAAGAATTTGTTTTAATACATCATTTAGGTAAATTAAAAAAAAATTTTAATAATTACAATGGTATTGATTATTTCATTATTATTATTAGTATATAGTAATAATATTAGATCATCATTACTATTGTTGTTGTTGTTGATATTGTCATTTGCTGCTTTTAGTTGCTGACGAAAGACGCTTTAATATTTGAATGTTAAAAGATTTTTTTTGAAAGAAAAAAAATTTAATACCTAGTTATAACAAAAATTGTTTTACCATTTGCTTATTATTTATTATTATTATTAGTATTTGTTGTTGTTGTTGTTGTTGTTGTTGTTGTTGTTGTTGTTGTTGTTGTTGTTGTTGTTGTTGTTGTTGTTGTCATTGATGTTGTTAGTTATTGTCGTCATTGATGTTAGTTGGTTAAAGACACTTTAATTGAATTTTTTTGAAAATAATTTTATTCAACGCATAATAACAACAAAAACATTTAATTGGAAACAAAGATTGTTAATTATACAATAAAACGTATTTTTTGATCTCGAAAAAAACGTAAAATCATTATAATTGATAATTGGTAGTATTTATGCATTGTCAACTTATTGATAAATCTTAATTTTCTTTTCACCAGGATAATAACGTCATTATGTAAGGTATCAAAACTTATATTTTATGAGGTTTTCCTTCACCAGAACAATAATATACATCATCATTTGGAAAAATTAAACTTACATTCCATGGGATTTTCCTTCATCAGAATAATAACGTATATCGTGTAAGGAATTTGATACGTTTCCGAATGTATTTAAAATTTGATAACTTTCAAAACTTACATTGGGTACGTTCGCTCCGTATTTAAAATTTACTCTTTACATATTGCAATATCAAATAAGTTCTCACGTAGGGTTGAGAGAGACACATTGGTTTATTTTGTAGTCAAAAAAAAGCTCAAGATGGAAAACCTACCGGGTGGTTTTTTTTTCAGATTTCCCTCATTCAAACAATTATTATTGATGACAATCATAATGACAGAACTATTTGTAATGTATGTAAATAATTTGGTGGTTATATTCATCGCGATGTCCAACTTAAATGATATATAATAATAATAATCGTGTTGGATATGTAAAAACTATTTATTATCATCAGCATAAAAGTATATATTAATATCAGTATTGATTCTTTTCTTCCAATGGTTTATTGATTATTTAAGTGAATCGGTTAATTATGATATTGGAAGTAGCTTTAAAAGAACATTATTTGGAAATACTGTGGTTTAATTTAGAAAAGGTACTATGCTACTAAGAAAATGAAATATAAGAGATAATAATAGTCAACTATAGTTGTTTGCCATAATTGTTTTTGAGAAAAGTGATTGGAAATAATTACGGATTCTCAAGATTCTTTGTATGAATGAGCATAATATAACTACATTAATATATTAATATGCCATTTGACTTTAAAGAGTTCAAATCATTACAGAGATAACTATTAAAGTTAATTATTATATTATTATTATGGCAACTATGAAAAAACTAATTACGGCATATGGCGACGATCGCAATTTTTTACAAAGAAATTTGACGGATTTCAAATGCTGCAATGAAAGATTCCGACTATTGATTCGTTGATTTCTTAGGATGTTTGCCTTTTTTTCGTTGCTTCTTTGTCTTCATAATTAATGCATGAATTTTAGAACAACCAATCTCTTGCAACTTTTTCTTGCGGTAAGAAAATAGGAAAAGTTATTTTAATTTATTTGCACCCTCTCTAATTTACCAACTATGAAATCTCTTACGTTTCCATTAATTTTATTAATATAATTATTTTCTTATTAATATCATAACATACTCACACAAGATGACCAATTTGTCATGGTAGGCTCCAACTTCCCCTAATGATTGTCTTTTTAAGACATATACAAACCTCTTACTTGCAAATAACGTTATCTATTTCTTAAGGGAAAGATGTTTTGAATCTGAACAATTCAAATTCTGCATCTATCATGCCATTTTTTTTAAAAAAATTCTTTCTAAGAAACAAATGATAGCGAGGGAAAAAAATTTCTTGTACATACACATACATACATGTATGCATATATATATATATATATATTAAAATCAGATTTTTAAAGAAAATTATCATTTACATTACACCATTAATAATAATAATTTCATTGTCACAAACTTACAAATGAAAAATGAAATAAAATTTGACATGTTACTATATTAATATTAATATACATGTCAAAAAAACAGACAAAATTCAAATTCTATATCTCCCTAATTGTGGTATGAGAATAGTTTATAACCTATTGCTATATTTTGCCTATTATTTAAAATAACTAAAAAATTGAAATAAATACAATTTGATTGAGTTTAATTGCTTCCAAATTTTTTTTAATGGGGAGTGAAGTTTTATTGAATTAACTTCTTTAATGTAAACATTAAATTAAATTAAATTATTATTATACATTGCATTCCTTTTTCGAAAATCACCTTTTTTTAAACAGAAGTAACAATTATTTCTCACTGATATATTTTTATAATAATATTTATATTGAAAAAAAATCATATTTTAAAAACTTTGGGTATAGATATTAATATTAATAAATCTAGGAATGGTACCTGAAAGTTTATTAACATCAGACAGAAGAGAATTAGCATGGAAAATTTATGCTGAATGCTTCTTCAGCTACTTTGAAAGTGAAAATCTAAAAAGTTATTTTTACAATCAGTCAAAGAAATCAAAGAACTTTTAAAAAATAAAAAAAGAATATTGTAGAGAAAAGTTTATTTATATTTTTGAATTAGAGAATGTAATTTATATAAATTGGAACCAAGAGAATGATACCCTGTGTGAAGTGTGTATTGATCTACACTTTTCACTACTTGGACATCTGAAAATAGATAGTTGATGGTTTTATTTAAGAATGTCAACAGCTTTCATCTCTTCCAAACAAAACTATAGGATGAGTGCCTTATGAGCAATTTTTTAATATACAGAGGGTACATTGCTGGGTGGACAAGAGGAAATATATATGATTAAATAATTCAAGTCCAGTAAAATCTTTTTTTAAGATCCTTTTTATTTAAACCATTTATTTTAGTTAAATTAATTGATTTGATTTATGTAATTAATCACAAGCATTGAATCAGGGAATTTAAAAGATTATTTACAAAAAAAAATCATTCAAATGTTAAAAGATAAAGTTAATATTTTTTACCTATTTATGTGATGTATTAAATTCTATACATGAAAAAGATTTAATCCATTGTGATTTACACAGTGGTAATTTATAATTAATGAAAGTGGTGTTAGTTTTAAGGTTTCTGGTCCAAACTGTTTTCTCAAAGCCCAAACTAGTTTGGGCAATTTGGGCTTCTCAACATTTTTTATAAGCATGAACATTAAAAAACTATATGAATCAATTTGTTTTAACTTAAACAACTTTAAAATAATTTCGCCCAATTTCGGCTAATAACAAAAAGTAGTTTGGGCTTATAAAAAAATAAATTTTGCCCAAAGTATTTGGGCAATTTCAGCTACTAATAGAAGCATTTTCGGCCAGAAACCTTAGTTAGTTTTATTACAGATTTAGGATTATGTGGACCAGTTGATCAAATAAAATCTATGGAATTGTATAACATATTGCACCAGAACCATTTAGAGGACATAAGAACATAAAAGAATCAGATATTTATAGTTAATGTGGGAAAAAATTTGCAGAAAGCTCATAATCATTGCTTATACTTGGAGGCTTACAACACAAATATTACCATTATTCACAAATGATGCAAAAGTGTTGGGATGTGGATCTAGCCAAAAGACCAACTATTGGAGAGCTTGAGGTATTTGCCAATAATAAATTTCGTAGTATTTAATATTGGTGGCAGTAGTAGCAATAGTATTAATGATAATGATAATAATAGTAATTCACAACAAATCAGGGTTGACAAATGTGTTATCTATTGTTGATCCATTGGGTCCATTATAATTATATTTAGTGTTTTTATTAATCCCAATGGACCAGTCAATTTCCCAACCCTGCAACAAATTCACAAGTCACACCATTAGCATATCATACAAATAGAATATTAAATGACGAAATTTCTGAATTAAATTTAAGTAATGAAATGTATTTTAATAGGACAAATTAAATAGTTAATTAATTGAATTTTATCAATTACCAATATGATTCTTATTGGTAATAATGAAGGATAAGAGAAACGGATGGATAATTTATTCATTTTTGAAATACGATCGGCCGACTTCGTTTTATTTATTTCTTATATTATTATTAAGAAGAGTATTAATATAGATAATAATAAATATCTGCATATATATATATATATATATATATATATACTGTATATTATATTATATTCTACAGTAATACGATTCACTGAAACACATATTATTAAAATTGAATATTATTTTTGGAATTCGAATCACTGAATTGCGATTAAACTAATTTTCAATAATTTTAATTCTAATAATGGTGGCGGTGATTAATCTACTATAAATATTAGCACCGAATCGAAATTATTATTAGAATACTCGTGTATTTGTTGTGTAATAGTAGATTTATTATTAATTGGATGCGAAATTCCGATTGGCCGATAATTAAATATTATTATAATCAACCAACTGGCTGTTTTTATGAATGAATAATTAAATATGGAGAATAATATAAAAATATTAACACCAAAACCAAAAACCATGATCTTCAACACCATCATCTCCTATTATGTATTTATTTGATTTGATTTTTTTTTTATTTGATGAGTCATCATTATCACCATCACCATCCATTGATATTTTTGTATATTTTTGACAAAACAAGTAAAAGCCAATAATATTGGCTATTTCACACCAAATCCAACATTTTTCAAGTATTGAGTTTTATCTTTTAATCACCCTCCAAAAAACACCTTCAGTTATATGATACCCTATTTACATACCACGAAAAAAGCTAACACAATACCCAATTTAAAGTTTAAATGCCAAACCATAACTCATAGTTGTTTGCCTTTTGGATTGCCAATAAAAAGTCAGAGCTCAGAACAACGAAGCACAGATGAGTTATGGTCACTCAGGTAGGTCACAATAGGACCCCACAAACTTCATAGATGGGGTTAGTAACAAAATCCCCTGTTTGTCATATGATTTAACCCAGACCAAAATATGACTTGACCCTAAGGTTTGCAATAACATTAGAAAAAAGAACATAATTTGACCTATAATATATACTAACATTAAAAATTTTAAAACTGTCTACTATAACGAAATTAAATTTACCAATCAATTGATTTAACTAAATGATTTACTATATATAAAGCATTTTGAATGAGCGAGCAAAAAAATTGTTATACAAATTTTTTTGGATCCCTTAATAGATTTGACCCTATTAAAAATATATTGACCCACTGCACCAAGGTTTCTTATGAGATGTTCCTCAGCTTTTGGCCCATTTGAGAAAAAAAATTTTTCTGGAGGATTATAATAATAATATATTTATAATCTCAAAAAAAATTATCAATTCTTTGATATATTCATATTTTACTAGAAAAAGGAAAACTTTTTTTTTCCAGGAAAAATTTCCGCCTTTGCTCAATAATCGTGTTGTGTTTCTAATTTCCGCACAGCAGCAAGTATTGCTATAATAAATAAAAATCATAGACAGGTATTCGTTGATAAGGAAATACCCATGGCACTAATTTATGCATTATCTTTATTTTTGTTGCTATAATTATTTAAATGGAGTTCTGCTGTCTGGAAACGGGTAGAGATGTTAGTTTGTGCGAGTAAAAAAGGTCCATAAAAACACTAGAAATTTTAAAATCAAATATCAATACATAATTCTTGACAATTTAGGAATATCAATTTGATTATTTATTCCATTTTATTCGAATCGATCAATTTATTTGTTTATTGGATGATTGAATGAACCTTGGATAACACTTTCAAACGTTAATATTATTAGTAGTAATATAAAGTTAGTTACAAAATCACCCTTTACATAATAATTACATAAATTGATTGATTCAGGCAACAATAGAAATTTGAACTTAAAAAAGACATATTACAAATCAGCATATCTAAAAGTACAAAATATTGCCTACCGCCTGATTCAATTGGTAAAATTCAGTCATGTCCCATCGAATATAAAGACATTCGTGTCACATAAACAATAAAAACAATGATTATTATATTTTTTTACAATTAAAAAAACAAATGTGCAGGGGTAAAAAAATATACTAATACGTAGTGTTGGTTGTACTATCTTATTTCCAAAATATAATAATAATAAAGAAATTTATTTTTAGGGGTGGATGATAATAGTGATAGTAGTATTTATAGAGCATAATTTTCTTTACAAGATCAACAATAGAGTATTATTATTGTACACTTACTGTCATATTATGACAATTCTTTTCCAATTTGACATCTTTATATTTACTAATCAATCAATTTAATCCTTGAATTAGCAAAATCAATTAATAATAAATAATAATAATAATAATAACAATAATAAATAAATAGAACTCGGGACCAACCGTTTATATAAAATTTTTTTAGTGAGATTTAGGCAATCTTTAAATAAATTTTATTCTTTATACCAATCATGAATTATTTTAATTTACTGATATTATTTGGCCTTTGCTTAATATAAACAAAATTAAATTAATTACATGAGGTTTGTGAAAATATAAATAAACATTTTTTGCAGATCTTAGAATTTAATCAAAATGGTTTTCATCATAAAAACTAAGCTAATACTGTAAAAACAATTGTACAACAGTTAAAATTTAAGTTATGATCTGATTTATGTTATTTTATTATTCTTTGAAATTTTGTTTTTTTTCCTTCTAAATATTAATATTTAGTGTTAATTATCGATATATATATATATATATTCATACATGATATATATATATATATAATTATGTAGGTTACATTGTTCTTTAACATTCCCAAAAATTACTCTTTCTTTCTTTCCCCTAACTATTTGGTCCTTTTTTTTTTCCTTATATACTAATATATTAATAATTATTAATAAATATTATTATTATCATACCAAACTTAACCCAAAAAAATTTTATTTATTATTTTATTTTTCCCTTAAATTACTTTCCTTTTTTTCTTTTTATTTTCCTTCTTTATATTCCTTATTTCTTCTATACACGCACTCTCTCCCACTCTCCCGCACTCTTTCTTCATCCTTATTATTATTAGTAATAATTATAATTAGTAAATATTGGTAATATTATTAACAACAAAATAAAATAAAATTTTATTATTAAATAAACAAACATATATATGATGAATTTTTTACCACCAGAATTATTAAATGATATATTTTATCACCTCAAAAATGACCAAAAATCATTATATGGAATATTTATAGTATCCAAGAAATTTCATCACATCATACTTCCGTTAATTTATTATAGACCTAAGCTAATCAACATCGGCAGATTTCGCAAATTCCTTCAGATTCCTCAGTCTTCAGGTTCTCTGGTCAGAGAAATAGATTTGTCACTATTAGGACCAAATAGGCGTCTAGAAATAACCGACCAAGACATTATTAGTTTAGTGACACTCTGTCCTTATTTAACTTTTCTTGATATTAATTTTTGTAATCAATTACATGACGTGTCACTTATCTATATTGCAAATAATCTTGGCTCACACCTAACCACCTTGAATGTGTCGCAGTGTCCGAATTTTACCGACAATGGTTTTATAAAATTGGCTCGTTGTTGTAAAGTACTTAAATCGCTGGATTTTTCTTACACCGATATAACTGACTCTGCTTTATCTGAGATCGCTGTCACATGTCCGGCTATCAAATGGTTAAATTTAAAGTATTGTGAGTTGGTGACTGATTTAAGTTTAGATGATTTAAGAAAATGGTGTAAAGAGTTGAAATTTTTGGCTTTGGAAGGCTGTTTTGGAGTTATGAGAGAAGTAAATGGTGGTGGTAATGGTGTTGTAGGTATTGGTATGGGTGTAGATGTTCTTAACATTATTGGTGGAAATGTTAATATCGATAATGATGATATGTGGGTATCAGAAGATGAGACTGATGATGATTATGATGATTATGATGATGGAATGAGATTGGATTGATATAAATTTTTGGATTAATTGATTAATAATAATATGGATTAATTAGACATTGGGATAAATCAATATATATATATATATATTATAATATAAGAAATAGAAGGATTTGGAGTTAACTTGGACGTTAATGATTATAGATTATGAATCCAATGATGTAATTATCATTTCTTTATTCCCAACAACAACAACGCAAATTAATTAATTGATAATACTGTAAATTAACAACAATAATTATTCTTTCATTTATTTATTTTCACACAAACACTTTATCATCATCAAACATTCAGACATTTCTAATCAAACATATAAAAACATTTTATTTTAATAATCAGACATTTGTTTAATAAGGCATTCAGACATTTAATTAGACATTTATATTTAATCAGTCAATTATTCACTTAATTCATTTAATTAATTTTTAAGATTAAGATTAGTATTATTATAAATTAGAAAAAAATTATAACTAATATTTAATTTATATATGTATAGAATTTTTTGGGTTTTTTTTTTATAGAATAATTAGTCAAGTAATTAATATTTTTTTTTAATTTTGTAAAATAAATTCTTTTTTTTTTTTTTTTTTTAAAGAACTAAATAATAATAATAATAATAATTAATAATAATATTAATATTAATAATAATAATAATAATAATAATAATAATAATAATAATAATAATAATAATAATAATATATAACTTTTTAAACAAAAAATTTTTACAATTTATATAATAAAAGAAAATATATTTTCTATATATAGTATATATATTTAAAGCAATTGTTTATGTTGATTTTTTTTCCAAAAGATGATTTCCATCTAATAATATTTATCTCCTATATATATTACTTTAAATTTTTGACATTTAGAATGTAATCCTCGTATATAAGTAAATTATTATTACCTTCTTTGACTCAGAAATTCCCCAAGACCTTTATTTTGAGCGGTTAATTAGAATTAAAAGAAACCACATTACTATCCAAATGTCATTTATTAATTAATTAAGCTTAAAGTATAATTTCAAATGTTTTCCCCGTTACTCATAATCTTGCCATAGATCAAACACTTTCTTTATCGTTGAGTGATTCTTGACACATATGTTCCATTGCTTCCTATATATATATATATATTATTATTTTTACTATTTTATTATAATTATCCGCTATTATATTTGAAAAAGATTGCTTAATCATTGCCGATTTTTTTCTGGTTTAGTCATACGCTGGAATGCCGTTATGTCTTTTTTTTATTTATTTTTTTTATTTTGATATATAAAATATTTCTCAATCAATAATTCCCCTCTCCGATGTTATAATATAACAATTTGACGACGACAGCCTGATGATATCTGATATCTAATATGAAGAAAAACAATGATATTATCCAAAGTCGTGATTTACCAATATTAATATACGACCACCCATAGTTCTCTAATATTATATACTGGATATATAATATAATATCAAATATACATTTAAATTGGCGTTGTCAACTTTCACTCCATTCGTCCATCTTATCATCCATCCATTGATTGGTCACGTTTTCCTTTAATAACTCCAAGTTCGATTATCTCGTGATTACATCACTGCGTCATATATGACCTCTTTTTTAATATTAATATACAGGGATTGGACCCTGTTTGCATGGCTTGAAATCACTCATATAGATCAAGCCAGTTTTATTATTACCAACAAAATTTAAAACATTCCAGGTGAATTTGGATTATCCGGCTTTTTGAAATAAAATTAGCTGTTGGTTACTGTTTTGATTGAACATCTATCTAAATTTCGAAACTATTATTTTTCTTTTATTATTATTATTCAATTTTATAATCTTATATACTATTTGTTATAATATTTTAATGAAAGGTTACGTCGTCTGTCACCTAAAATATTGTAATGTTTCACATCCACCCCAGCAATTGTGGAAAATCTAAATTTCTTCCAAAAATTCATTATCACCATAATGAATGTTTTGATTCATCCCTCGGGTTTAAAATCCCTTGACACTATATATGAATAAATATACAAAATGTTTTTTTGAGATGAAGAGGCGCTAATAAATTTTGAATTAAAGCATTGAATTAATATGTGTGAAATTTATGTAACACAATTATTACAATTAGAACAAGAACAGTAATCTATATAGAAAATTCAACCACGTTTCTTACATCTGCAGCATTAACAAAAAGAGCGACAGCTGTCACCTCAATCCCAGTTACAACTTCAAATACAAAGTCTAAGGCAGCCACAACAAATGCGACAAACACATCAGTTACAACCAGGCCAATCACAACCACAGAAACCGTAACAAAGACAGCAACAATTACAGCAGTTACAATAACAACGACAACCACAATCATCAAGATTTAACAATGACGCTTTAATTTAAAAATTCTCCGGAAAAAACCAAAATCACAAGATTTATTTTATTGTGATGATAAGGATAATAGTCATGATATCTTACAACATATTATATTTCTTGATATAATTGAAAAGAAAAAAATTTCGAAATCAAAACAATCAAATCCTAAAATTTTACCAAGTAATGTTTGTTATGAATAGTAATAACACCGGCAATTAAGGCTCCGAGCGAATCGATAAAATTCTCGAGTCACCTAATTTCTGATTCGTTTCGTCCAAATTTGTTTCTAATCGATATATACTATCAAATACCATTACAGCCTCCAACAATCTTACTCTATAAATTCGACTACTGGTATATATTCAGTCCAAGGTGTTTTTGTTGATATTCCAATGTCCAAAGTCAAAAGTAACATAAGTATAATAAATAAATTAACCCAATGAATCATGAATTGATTCAATCGGATCGATATATACTATCTAATACATATAACAATAAATAAATTCGTCCAATGAAAGTTCTTTGTTCAACGAATCTTGTTTCAATTAAGTTTGCGTTGCAATGGATTTGCTTCACGTTGAATGAGATTTTAAATGCAATACTGAATACATACTAATACTAAATATACATACCAATACAGAAAATGAACTTTTCCGTGCCTAAAGTTACGGAAACGATACAGAATATATTTTTGTACTGCTATGTATTCTCCATATTAAAATGCTTTTTTCATTTACGGAAACCACATGGAAAGTATGCGAGAAAATATTCTAATTTATAATTCTCAAAATTATTCCGTATTAATATGGTTTCCGTACCATTTTCATATTTTTAGGTACGAGAAGATAGATTATTCCGTGTCAAAAATGCGTTTTCCTAATGCATTCCGTATCAAAAATGCATTTTCCCATATGTAATCATATTTTTTATATATGTGTAGATTTGCTGAGACCATATTTGCATTATTCTAGTCATATTAATATGCACATTTTATTTTATCAATTTTAAAATTAAAAATTAAAAATTAAAAATCTGAATCCGAATTCGAATCATGCGTGATTCGGCTTGATTCAAAAATAATCGGAATTGAATCGCTTTAAAATTTGACACGATTCAATTCTAATTCGTCCTGAGCCTTACTTACAAACAAATATAACACCCGCTGGCCGACATACAAAAATATGATTATCCGTTCAAGCAACAAAATACTGATCCTATCAAAAACATAGCAGCTAGTAAATATTATTCAATAGCTAACGTGCAACGAAATACCGTCACGTAAAGCAAATCACAAAAATATGCATAATTAGCAGAGATTTAGCAAACAATTAGTGTACAGCTGTATGCATAATATTGACAATTGTAAGCAAACAGCTGTTTGTAAATTATGCATATAATATATTATTATTTTTGTTTAAATTACACATAATGCAAAAAGTGTGATGTATATTATATACAATTGATTTTTATTTGAATTATGGTTTGTAATAAAATAATTTATTTTTTTTTTCTTAATTATTATTAACGTTGAAAAAGTAAATAAAAATTAATTAATATATTATAATAATAATAAAACAATGTAATATAATAATAATGTTTTCTGTTTTGTTCCGTAACGAGATTGTTCGTCGTCAGATCAACCCTAGATCCCTTTTTTTGAAAAAGAAAATAAAAATTAACTAATGTTAACATCATAATAATAACAATTACAGTCAGGGAGATTTCCAAATTTGGAAATCAATTCTAGAAATTTTTGTTGATCAATTCATATACGTTACAAAT